GCTACTTCGAAGCCAGCTGAGCCAGCCTTATTAAATAATCAAATCTTGCCCCATAAATAATGGAAATGATTTTTGTTTATTTTTTTGATATTCTAAAAATAATTCACTACATGGACCATCTTGTAAATAAAGAGTAGGATGACGATGAACTTTGCCGACTTGAAAATGAAATTTCGGTTAAGAAGTTATACTGACACCCATCCAGTAGAGGTTTCTGGCAGTTTCTGCTAGATAGTCAGTGCTGTTGTCGCATGACTGTCGATGTTATCGTACAATCATCAACGTAGCTCACCAAGTTAACTCAAGCTAGCGGCGGAATGAGTTTTGCCATGTTCAGCCAAAGGTCAGCCGGCCCATTTTACTGGGCGTCAAGTGTGACAGCCTATTCTTCTTCTCAGGCGCTAGACGGCAGCACCTAAAGAGCTGACAAAAGCGCCCTGTCCACCACGAAGAAAGTGATCGGCCCGTTGGTGGCTAAGTATGCAACGCTAGTGTGGTCAGCGGTAATGGCGGTAATGAGTGTAAAGCATAGGAGAAATCTATAAACTTGTCAGAATGCAGCTTTGTGTATGGCTACAGGCTGCCATCTCATGTCGCCCGTGCATCATCTCCACGACAGAAAACAAGACGGTGGCGGTTAAGAGTATAACGCCCTGTTATCAAATAGAATAGAATATAGAATGTCATCGAGGAAACTAACCCCAACCCCAACACTCTGCTTCGAAACGATCCGCTCGCCGACATGTGAGGCGCACACCTGCACGACTGGAGTACAGATACAGACAGTGAGCCGTACGTAGACCATAAGTTTGACGCAGCGCAGTACAGAGCGGCACTCAACAACGTGCACAGCGAAGCAGATCGACCGCAGACCATCAAAATTTAGGATACAGAACTTCCGAGAGAGGTAAGATGCATCCTAGCATAACTCCGTTCTGGGTGGTGGGTAGGCTCAACAGCTAGATACCGCACCCGGCTCAACTCAGAAGTCGCACCTGCCCATTAATGGGGCAACCCGACGATCCTAACACCGGAAGTAGTATGGTCTACACCACGCACTCCTTAACATCGGGCTTACCGATCCAGATTATGAAAAGGATACCTGATGATACCCCGGTGAGAACAACAACCACTTCTCACATGTGGAAAAATTTTTAAATACGAAAGAGATTGCGAAGACGAAGGCATACGAAAACAAATACGAAGAGCAACCGAAGGCGGATTCAGAGATGACGACTAAGACCATGATTCAATAATACAAGGTTCGATAAACTGACAGTTGTCTCTCTCGCACCGCTCCCTTAGCAGTGGCACCGTGTTGCTTCTTTGCAAATTTACATGGAAACTGTGTAGCTTTGGTGTGAAATAAAAGTATAAGCTTTTGTGCAATATGTTTATTTGTATATGCATATGAAGCATATTTAACTGATGAAAACGTAAGCATTGGATGTTTGCATCAATCTCATAGTAGTCTTATTTTAATTTTGAGTCATTTTGCAGTTTTTATACGGCTAAATAGCATATAAATTACGTAATTCACGTAGATATAACAATATTACGTTCAACATTTCGTTTAAAATGCCCGATTTCCTGCAAATACATTAGAATTTACAAAAGGAATTTCACTACTAATTGCCTACTTTGCGTACTTTTCTACTACCATTTTCGAAACAAGGGATTGCATTCTTGCCCTTTCTCTGTCCTTCGTAAATGCAACCTTTTGTAAGGGAGTGTCAAACCGCAGCTGTCAATAATTATCTAACCTTGTATTATTGAATCATGGACTAAGACGAACAAGAATACGAGGAGGGGTGCGAACGCGAGTAAGAAGACTAAGACGAACACGAATACGAACAAGAATGCAAGGGCGAGACGGAAGACGAATACGAAGGCAAATACGAATTCGAATACGCAGACAAACCGAATACGAATATGAAGAAGAAGGCCAATAGAAAGATGATTGCGTAGGCAAATACAAAGACAGCACTGAAGCGAATACAAATTCGACGACGAGGTCAAATATTAAGAAGAATACGACGACGAATGCGAAGAGGAATACGAAGACTAATACGACGGCGAATATGCATAGGATCCGCAGACAGAATGGAATACGAAAACAGCGAGTGAAACGAATACCAATGGTTTTTCATTCTTCGGTATGTCAAGGCTTCACTGTATTATTATTATTTAAAATATACGCAGCCGACCAGACGTCCAGTTTTTCGAGCTCTCTTAGCTGCAGATGCTCAGGCACTTCTAGAGCCTCGAAGCTGCTCTCATTATGCATATACATAGGCATATCTATAGTAAATGCATATGTACGGAGATATGCTAATATGTTTAACTTTAACTCCGTACCCATATTTTGAAAAGGCCTTAGCTATCGCCAGCCATACATATACATTTATTAAACTTTAACTTGTGGTGTCTCAAGAAGGAGAGCACCTACGTATAATTTCACCGAAATTACCATGAACAGTTATCTATAATGCTATGCAAGCGGTTTTCTGCTCAACTTTAATCGAGCCTGCTTTTGTTTCGAAAGCACTGTGGTGTAACAATTAAATACTACCATAAGAAAAGGCAATATAAAGAAGATGAAAAATATATAGAAGACAGACTAGTTCAGCTTCAAAGCAAACTACTAACTACTAAATAGTTGAGTCACTTCAGAACTCGCAGGCTTTACTGCAGTAATCTTTCCGCGCACAACCAAATACAACTTGCATACACATTACCAAATGTAAAATTCTAAGAAACAATTTCTATAACTGACCCATCGTAGATCGGTTGGAAGAGTGTAATATATAAATACATAATTATTACTTCAGCCTTAGAATGCCTCAATTTATAAAATAGTAGCGATTTTTTCCAACTTAAGCCAAAGCTAAACTAATTTTAAAGCTTCGCTAAAAATATTGAAAGCTCTTTAGAAGCTTTTTCATACCGTTGCACTCATTTTTTTATGCTTTTTTACGCTCACCAATTTTTAACTGTCGTCCTCACTCTTTAACTAGCTCTCTCTCACTTTTTCGCTCTCTCTTTCTCTCTCTTTCACTAGCTATATCTTTGCCAGTGCCTCTTACGCTAATCTTTGTTACAACTAATCGCAAAATTTCACGCTCCGCCTCTACTTCACCCATTCTTCTACGTATTTGTTCTTTCCTTATTCTTCGTTATTTTTTTTGTTTTTGTGTATTGAGCGCGAACCAAAATTTCTTTTTCGTCTTCTTTCATTTTCTTTCTTGCAGACCCCGATACCGTCCATAAGAGGGTCACGTCGCAATCGTACTTCCAAATCGACTTTTATTTCCAATACACAAATTGTGAGTTTTAAAATTTTAATAGAAAAACCCAACGAGTCAATTGGTATTAATTTGCCTGTTCCATACTCATATCTCGCACACTCAATCGCACGTGCCACTCACTCACTGAGTGTGGCATAGCCCCCGCTACCGACGCCGGCTGCAAGAGAGCTATGTATGTATGTATGCTTAGGTGCTCATGAGTAGTGTGCGGTAGCTGAGTGTAAGCGAAGTTGGGTTTGGAAAAGGACGACGATAAGCATATGTGAGCACTTTAGTAGTAAAATAAATGAAAGAAAAAAAATTATAGATCCACATGCAGTTAGAGGGTTCACAGTAGATGATGATGTGATGCTTGCTTTGGGTAGTGAAAAATATTTACTTATGTACATATGTAGTTCTTGCATTTGGACAAATGTATCGGATAGCTGAGTACCCTTTTTAATGCCATTCACAAAGCACTTCACTCACAGAATATGCACTTTTTTCAAATTCGCATTCTAAACTCATTTACATACATTCAATGGGGTCGCTAATGGTGATTGAAGACTTCTTCATATCGCTTACACGCATTTACTTATACTCGTAATTAGTTATCCAAATCAGTGATCGAACGACAAAAGTTTATTGAAGGAGCGCAATAAGTCGCTCTATTTCTCACTCTCACGCTTTCTCACTGACTCTGTCTCTCTCGCTCTCTCTTCCACACATATACATATAACCAAACTACAATGAGCAGGAAAGAGGCCAAGAGCATTAATCTGTTCAACGGACCAAGGGATTAATATTTTTCTACTCGCGCACCAAAATATTACACGGCTCTTTGTTTACCAGCCACTGATTTATGTATACATTCGGGTGCTTTTTTCACGACAATTTTTTTTCACTCCCTCCTCGAAATTTTATGGGAAATATTTCGTTGCGTTTCTTCAGAATGCTCTACAAAAGTGTTCATTGCGGCGTAACCCTAACGCCCACCAGCGAAGTAGTACGGGTCACTAAACTCAATTTTTTCATGAAATTCTATTTTTTTTGCGCCTATCTCGTAAATAACGAGAGCTACAAAACTTCAATGACAGAATAGTTCCGGAACACTAAATCGCTAACATCGATATTTTTTTAAGATATTGGGCTTTGAAGTTGAGCAACAATTTCTACAATATAGATCAATAATCCATGAAAATTTCACCTGAGCTAAAATTTTCAGGGAATCTTTTTTAGGTAGATACTTCCCACAAAACTTCGAGGTTGGAGTAAAAAAAAAAAAATGTCGCGCCAAAAAGCACCCCAATGATGTACATACCATATTATGATCATTCACTTTTACAACTTGATAATGCATTTAAGTTCTAAATAAGTTAGTGCCCACCCAATTCAAAACAAGCAACTAACAGACATTTTTTCTCGGAAAAAACATATATCTATCTTTCTGCCACACGCCACTCTTTCACTCCTATACATTGTGTTACACTGTTGTCATTACGACTTGCTCTTTGTAATTTGTAACTTTGCTTGTGTGTCTCTCTCTCTCTCTCCCTCTATTTTTTCTTCCTCTCTATCTGCCTTTTTGCACCTGTTTACAATTATGCTAACTCCTTTCAATTGATGTAATGATAAAATAATCAAACGTACACTCTTTCTCTCTATAAATACATTTGACGTTACATCTTGTTAAAAAAATATATATATATAAATATGCAATTTGTCCATCTGTCCATCTGTCCATCTGACACTCAGAATGTCGGCTGGGACTTGCCACATGGACACTCATTGCAGGCACGCTGCAAAGATCTAGGCATGTACAAACTACTTGGCGAATCGCGCGTGCTCTGCTCGAACGGTTTGTGGGCACCGCGTATGCCGTCCTGTGTGCCCACCACCTTGCTGACCAATTTCTCCGACGATAGTGCACCCTCTATTCGGATCAAAGTCTTCAATGGCTCTGGCGCATTTGAACCATCGGGCGTTATGGCCGTATTACCGCAGAGCACAATTCTTTTGGATTGCATGTATCCACGTGTGCGTGGTATACCCGAGTGGACTTGGACCAGCTGGTACCAGCAATATGCAACTGGTAGGTACAAAAAAAGGTCAATTAATTAGACATACATAATTGGTGGTGGCATTTGTTTTTCTGCATGTGTTACAATCCGTGTTGCCAGATGTGAAAAAATTTGGCACCACAAAAAAATCGCGTTGATTTTTGATAATTTTTTTGCTGGCGGTATCACGCATATTCTTCCATACGAAGTAATTTCAAAAAAAAAAAAATGTAATCAAAAATTAATGCGATTTTTTAGAAACTTTAAACTGTCACTTTATTATACTCCAATTTAATAAGCTATAAAACTGCATACCAAAAATTAATTTAGAAATTCTCGGAATTGATATGAAAAGTTTGTGCAATTTTTAAAATTTTTGTACAAAGTTTGAAATCTGGAATTATATGGTTTTTGTTGGATAAGAAGCTGAACTTTCATAAAAAATTAGTGAACCTTAAAAAAAGCAAAAGCAAAGTAGTCAAAACTGGAAAAAATGTTGATGTACCATCTTTTGTCCCGGGATATATATTCTTAATATTTTACAGCATACAGACACAAGTTTCCTAAAATTTGGACTTTTAATATTTTGAGCAAGAAATCCCAATAAAATCGTGTCTAGTTTTAAGACAATGATAAAAAAAAACAAATGGTTTTTCTGTTTTTTGTGACTTTTCTATATTTTTTAGGAATGTTTCGAATTTATTTAAAGCATTTCGTAATTTTTTCGGAGGTTTTCGTATATGTTTTTCGGTACATTCCGATTTTTTCAGAGTTCTCCAGATTTTTCGGATTTTTTGAGCATTATCGGGATTATGTAGGTGAATACATACTAAGATATTTGACAGGTTTTGCGAATTTTGTTCGATAATTTCGATCCAATAAAAATATAACTCTGAAACTTTTCGGATTTATTTCACGATTTTTCATAGTTATTTCGAAAACACTCGCAACTGCTAGATTAGTTTTCAGACTCTTCGAGATTTTTTGAATTTTTTCGGAATATTCCTGATTTTTTCAAATGCTATTTGGACCTTTTCGGGCACTTTCGTATTCAACGGCAGATGCATTTAAAACTGGAAATTAAATTTTTGATAAATATTTTTTCGGAACTATTCAGATTTATTTTAAGATATTTCGGATTTATTTCGGGATATTTAAAACCTTTTAGGTGTTTTGTGGACTTATCTGGATTTTCTGATTTTCCAAGTTTATTTTGGAGACTTCCCGATTCTACATTTAAACCTTAACTTTATGATTTATAAAAGATTATTTCATTCATAATATTTCCTTATCGAGATTAATCTTGAGATCATTCGGAACTTTTAGGTATCTTTGGACTTTAAGGCATTTTTCGGAAACTTTTTGCTATATTCTTTGAATTATATTTGGCTCTTCATTCGGGAATTCCTGGAAAAATTTCATTTATTTCGGATTTGTTTCGGGGTTGCTTCGAACTATTTCTGGATTTTTCGTAACTTCCAGATGTTTTTCAAGATTTTTCGGATGTTTTCAATTTTGTTTCTTTCTGATTTTTTCGAATGGTTAGATTACTTAAGCTTCGGAATATTTGGGATGAATTTGGAGGCTTTACATATTCTGTTTGAATTTTTCGCGATTTTTCGGGAATTTTCTTATCATGTTTGTAATTGTTTTATAAATTTTCGGATTTATTTTTCGAGATAGTTCATAACTTTTATATATTTTTTTTTTGGACTTTTCGACATTTGTGTGAAACATTACGAATCTTTTCGAGACATTTTTCAATTTTATTCGGAAACTTCGTTTACTTTCTTAAGTACGTTACATTTAAACTTAGCTTTATAGTTCAGTTATAGCATAATATTTCCTAAAAGTCCAAAATATCTTTTAACTCGCTCAGAATATTAAATTTTATTGTAATATTTAAGTTTTTTTTTTTAATTGACTGTTTCTAAAAAAACATAGTTATTAACTATAAAGCTTTAGAAGTAATTTTGTATAAGGAGGAAAGTTTTGAATTTTAAATATACGCATTTTGCCGTTTTTAAGATATTGGGCCTCATGCATAAAAAGTGAGCCTAAGCTCAGAATCAATTTTTGCACTGAAGGAGTGAGCTCAGGCTCAGGAATTTGCACTGAAAATCGAGTCGGAGCTTAAAACCTCATATTTTATGCATGAGGCCCATTGATTCCCCATTTCCCTTCCTTTTTCGTGAAAAAAATTCTCTTAACTTATTTCAATTACATATAGAGTATCGCTCTCCCCTTCTCTTGTATCTGACTCTTTCGCACTAACATTATCTATTACACTCATTACTAAATTTCAGGTTGGTCACACGAAGATAAAAATCTACGCTATCGCCTAACAATTAAGGACATACAAAACAGTGATTCCGGCACATTTACGTGCACTTCACCGCGCGGCTTGACCAATAGCATTGCAATCGTTGTGGCCACCTCGACATGTCCGCAGCTACCAGAACCGGTGTCGCCGCTCACGCTACGCTTGGAGGGTAATAAGCTCGGACAGCGCGCCATGTATCGCTGCCCTCCAGGTTATCGCATCGATGGTATTGCGAATGCAACGTGCTTAGCCTCGGGTAATTGGTCATCGCCGCCGCCCACTTGTCAGGCTGTGCAGTGTCCCCGTTTGGCATTGGACGATCCCCATTTGAGTTTGGTCGAGTTGAATACGTCGGCGTGGGGGCGGGCGATGTTCAAATGCCAGTGGGGCTTTAAGCTGACCGGCCCGCCGAGACTGGACTGTGAGCCGACGGGCGTGTGGAGTGGCCCAGTACCGCGTTGCAAAGGTGAGTAATTTGAATAAGGACACTACTGAAGCACACGAAATAAATTTTTGTTCAAATATTTATAAAAAGAAAGGTATGTGAAGAAATTCTTTTAAATTGATATGTTTTGCATAATTTAATTTTGCTTTTATTTATTCCAACAAAAGAAGCTTCAAATTTCGCGCCACAAAATATGGTAATGTAGAGATGTACTAGAAGTAGTGTACACTAATGGATTCAATTTTTAGACGACAATCATTGCTAGTAATACTTGGTAGTGCAAAAGTTCTGCTTTAGCGAATTTTCTAAAACTTAAATATTTACATACTTAGAGCGTAAAATATTCATATCATTTCAACATTTCGTACTACATAAATAGATCTAACGGGATATACGAATAAGTAAGAAATAATCTCTATACTCATGATTTGATGGGCATTAATCCTATACCTTTCTCGCGCACTCATCGGCTGTCTCATTTCCCAGAATACCACTCGGTTTCGGCACCCAGTAAAAATTGACTTTGTGCTGTTGAAAAGTTTGTAAAGTAAGGCAGCGTGTCATCTATAGACTCATGGGTCGCTAAATTAAGAGGAAGTGATTACCAAAATATTGGGGCTAGTCTTTCCTGTGGCCCTCACTCCATTTCTTTGGCATATTAAAAGAGGAAACAGGTTCTGTAAGTAGGTAAGCCGGGATAATTTTTCACAAGATATCGCTTCCGAACTAGAAGCTCGAAGAAGCCCTGCAAGAGCTTGGTTATTTATTACAAGTTTTCAGCCCTGACTTTGGCCCGGCCCAGTACCATTTTTCTCTCCGTCGTTTTATTGTATGAAGCTGACTTCGAATACTATTTATGGTTTGGGTTAATAAAGTTCGCTTCGAAACTTGCATAAGGTCTAACTCAAAAGTTCATGTCCTTCCTCGGCAGATCAGGCAGTAAGGAACATAATGCCACGTGATAGTTTATATTTTCCATCGGATCCAGTGGCAGTTACAAAAATCCTTCTAGTTCGCTAAAAGGGTTTGTGTTCATCAATAATTCTCCTGATGCCAGGGATAAGCAAAGTAAGGCTAGGCCATGTTAAGTTCGGAGGCCGCGTATGAAAAGTTCTATACTTTCGTTTGCAGCAACTGCATGTATGTAGTTGCGAGTGTCCTCAGTGAGTTAGTCCCGAATCTTCCCAAAATAGTCCCAAAATAGTTCTGAACTGGTCTCGAAATGAGCCAGAACTAGTCCTGAAATAGCTTCGAAATGGTCTTGCACAGCTCCTGATATTATCTTGAAATAATCCTGAATGATCGAAAAAGTCGTGAACTTGTCCCGAAATGATCTGAAACAAGTCTTGAAATGGTCCAGAAATGATCCCTTATTTGTCTCCAAATGATCGCAAACTAGCCTCAAAATGGTCCTGCAATAATCTCGAAATGGTCCTAAACTAGTCCTAGAATAATCCCGAACTAGGTTGGAAATGTTTCTGAAATAGTCCAGAACTAGCCCCGAAATGGTCCAGATGAAGTCCCAAAATCGTCCTCAAATATTTAGTCGTGAACTAGACCCGAAACCGCCCCGAAATTGTCCCCAACAAGTCCCTAAATGGTCCTGAAACAGTTCTGAACTAGGCCTGAAATATTCATTTGTACACAAAAGAAGCGATTGCAGATTTTCTCTTGGATTGCACAAGAAGCGGTAAAAAATTTTCGATTAGGTTAACACAAATTTTACCCATACCGACAGCTAAGAACTTTAATCAGTAAAAACACATAAAAGTCACACGGCACAAGATCTGGATGGTCGAACACTGAGATGCTGAACAGCTGTAAGTCGCTGACGTTTGACGCATGGGTACTTTTTCTGTAGCAGTGTCAGTCCCCGTATTGGAGATAATTTCAACCCATTAAAACGTTTACCTTACACCCTACGTTTGGTCCAGGCGAATATCTTTCATATCTTACCAAAATCATCCATAAGTAAGCCGAAGATTCAGTAACACTTTTGTGCAAATTTAGATATTTAGAACACAAATAAGGCAGGATTTCCTAAGTACACTCACGGTCAAAAGCATTTGCCCAGAGAATTTTTGACAACATATGCAACAATTTTTATTTAAATTTGTTTCCGCTAGTTTTTTTATAAAAATATGGTTAATACTACAACAAAACACTTAAGAACACTTATTTTTAACTTTGTGCAAAGCTCGATAAAAATTCAGCAAATTTCCACGCAAATTTTCAATATTTTAGTCAGATTTTTTAGAGTTATTTTCAGAATGCAGTTTTGTAGCTCATTCAAACTAAAAAAATGCATGTGTGAGATATTTTGTTGAAGGTTTTTCGCTATTTTTCCATACAAAGTATTTTAGATTTTTTTTTTAATAAAATGATTGAAAAAATTACCAAAAATCAACGAAAAGTCCTTCAAAGTTGCACTTTATTATACTAAAATTTAATGAGCTACAAAACTGCATAATCAAAAAATCGGATCAAAAAGTTGAAATTTATTGAATTTACCTTTGGTTTGCACAAAGTTTAGAAATCAGATTTGTATGTCTTTTGTAGTAGTATGAACGGTGTTTAAAAAAAAAAATAATCGCGGAAAAAAATTTAATAAAAAATGTTGCATATTTTGTGAAAAATTCTCTGGATCAATACTTTTTGTCGGAAGTGTAGCTTTTAAATGCAACCGCCCTTTAAACACAAATTTTGTTCTGAAAAATATATTCGATGGGCAGTTAAATTTTAAAACCCAACTGTGAAAACGTCACATAGTGGTGTAGTTACCTTAATTAGTATAACGGTAGCACAGAAACTACGAAATCATCAGTTACAACTGCCACAATCTGGGCACTCTATTTGAGCAGTGAGAACGAAAAGTAGCAAGTCATTGGCAGGAAAAAATGAATGCCCACACACACGCACGCTTTTATCGACATAGGATTACTGAATACTTACCAACGCAACCAAAAGATTCCACGTTCAAGTAGGGACTGCTGCTGTTGGCGTTGTCAGCCAGCAACTTGTAAAGTACACGAATAATTGAATTCTTTATTGACAACTCAAACAGGCAACGCAAGCCGTGCTGTGCGGCAAGAAAGAACCAGCGTGAACGTCAGCAGTGTTGAAAGTTGGACGGCGGCAAAAACAAATCAAAAAAAGAACGCATTTTTCTCGTCCCACATTTTCACTTTACACTACGCGGGCAGTAGTTGTATGTTCTTCATTTTTTTTTTTTGATTTACTTAATTGTTTTGCGTGCTGTTTGTTGCTTTTTTAGTGTTTTTAATTTATTTTTTTATTTTTTTTTTAATGCACTAGGCAAGTGTATAGGGTGCTACAGTAGGACGGTAGATTTTTTTATAAATAAAATAAAACACACCAAAATTTTTCGAATTTTTTTTCTTCAATTATGTATGTATGAAACACAATATGTACTGATATGTTGAATACCCACTACGGCTTCTCTGGCCGCACAGAATGCAATATCAGAATTTCCCAAAAATTTTCAAAATTGTCACTTTTTGGCATGGTTCGGCTGTATATCATTTATTACACGTATGATTTCATTATTCAGCTTTGTGAGAGATTCGTAAAAGGGTCATTGTTCCATACGCTGTGTAGGGTTGTTCGAGTTTATTACTTAGAATGTTTACTTACGACTTTTCGATCGACTCTATGGAGTCGACTTTAAAAGTCCACCGGCCGACGAAGAAAAATCGACTTTTTAATAAAAAAATGTATTAAGCATAGATACTCTGCATTTAACTCATATATTAGATATAAATATAAGGGTTAGAATACGCCAAAAATATCATGACTTACAAGTGGTTTTTAGAAAAATCTGAAATTTAGTAAAAAAAACCCCCAAACAGAGACACTAAAGGTTTTAAAAAACATTTAAAAAAATGTTCCAGTTATACAGCATGAAAATGTTGTTTGTGAGGGTTTCTAAAAGTTGATATTAAAAAAAAAAATAAGAAATTTTTTAATTTTCACTAAAAAAAATTCTAAAAATGTCCTTAAAAAATCTCGAGATTTAGTAACTATGGACCACTTTTTGAAAATGTTGCCTTTCCGATGGAACAGAGGTGGCGAGTATTGATAGAAAATTAATTGCCACCTTATAAACATGGGCATATTCCCCCCTTTAAAGTAGCCCGGACAGCTAGTGGATTGGGATTATCCACACGGCTAATGTTGCATCTCCACTGGAATTCCACCAGAAACGTCTTGATCGGTGTTTAACATTTTGTTACGTATTGGTCAAATTCGAACCAAAGACTGTATGTAGAGAATTGCATAAACTTATTAAATTGAGAAAAACTTTCTTGCGTGAAATTATTAAAGTAAACAGCTATGTATATACATATTACCTCATTATTAACTGAAGATTGTGGAGACAACGGACTAACAATATGCAATAATTTCATATACAGAAGAAGGCGCGTTCCTTTTACCGGATTTTTACCGGAATTTACCGGAGATTTACCGGAAGAAAAGTTTTAATGTAAGAGACGCAGCTGCAAATAACTTAAAAAAGTCGAGAGTCGAAGTGAAAACTCCATAAACTGAAAGTCGATCACTAAAATTCGCCTTTCAGAAGTAAAAAGTCGATTTTGGTCGAAAGTCGAAGTCGACTATTTATGCCTTCCCTAGCGCTGTGTGGCATGTGACACCGTCCGTTTGAAACAACATATTGTCCGAGCCCATTTCATCTAATTCAGGTCATAAAAAGTTTGTCATTCATCATTTCACGACAATGTTCACCGTAACAGCGTTACCGACATCATTTTCGAAGAAGTACGGTCCGATGAATTCGCCAGCCCAAAAACCACACCAAACACAGAAACTCGCTGTGAGTGAAATTTTTGTTTTTATTGTTTTCAATCACATAGACTTTCAGTACCCAAATGCGGCAGTTTTGCTCGGTAACGTATACGCCAAGGTGTTATGTGCCCCATTGCAAATCACGCAATACGCGAAATGCTTTTCTTGCTGCATTACTATTTTCATAAAACGTGCGGGTCACTTTTGTGCCTTATTCAACTGTGCGTTGCTCGTAAAAAATTCACTAAATTTGCCTACGCCTGTACCAATTGTATGAAAAAAAAATTCAACAAAAAACAACATTAACATATCACAAATAATTTCTTTCAAAGATCTGCAATACCCTTGAACCACCCTATAGGTTAAATTTTTTGTCGTCTTCAGTTAGTTTTTTTTTTTGTTCGCAGTATACGTGTGCTACATATCACTTTTTTCTCCCACTGTTACATACATTTGGTGTTTTCGAATTGCAACATATTTCACTGTATCATCGCCATCTGCTCTTCTTTCTTCTCGCTTTGCTCACGCTCCCCCTCTCTCAATCTCTCGCTCTCTCTCTCTCTCTGTCGTGCATATGAACGTCAACCCCCACCATGCACACACACACACCATCTACCTCATCCAACTGAAATATCACGCGCATGAAAAATTTATAATAAAACAGCCATCCAATGTTCGACGCCGGTGGCGCCGCTAAATGGACGAATCGGTGGTACCAATTTAAATCAGCGTCGTCTCACTGTCGGCGCTTTGGTCACATTCAGCTGCAACGAGGGACACACGCTGATCGGCGAGCCAAGCATCATATGCACAGAGACTGGACTCTGGTCGCATTCGCCACCATTTTGTAAGTAATAACCAACTACATACGAGTAAAAAAAGTTATTTATTTTATGTGAATTATTATACTAAACACTTCGTGGCATAATTATAAGCGCACCACATATTGAGAGGTTTTAAATAATTTTTGTTTTTTTTTTAATTACTTAATTCAAGTTATTTGTTATTAAAATATAGTTTTTTCTTCAACAAAAGGATATAAATCCAAGTTTCAAACTTTGTGCAATATTAAAAAAAATGTAAGATTACTTAGAAGATTTTTTGGTATACAGTTTTGTAGCCCATTCAATTTTAGTGTAGCAAAGTGCAAGTTTAGAGTAGCTAGGATGTGCCGTCGATTTTTGGCAATTTTTTTGTTCGACGATATATCATTTTATGCAAGAAACTGAGCAACACCATCAACAAAAAAAAACAAAATTGCCAAAAATCAACGGTATATCCTAACTGCTTCAAACTTGCACTTTATTATACTAAAATTGAATTCGCTACAAAACCGCATACCTAAAATCTTTCTACGAAACCGAATTAAAACATTTTTACAAAAGTTTTTTGAATTTTTTTTTAATATTCCACAAAGTTTTTACGGCTTTTGTCAAGGAATAAACTAAATTTTTATTTTAAAAACAACTAAAATTAAAAACAATTAAAATTTGTCAATATGTGGTGCAGCTATTATTATGACACGGTGTGTATGTGGCAGAAAATTGCAAGATGTAATGGTATTTGTATTAAATTGAAAATATTAAAGTCGCGCTGAGGCTTACACTCCTCTCATACACACACAAACACACACCCACCCATATACACGCACACACACGCACACAAACTTTCCATTAGCTTTAAAGTACACATGCAAAGCAATGCTGGCGTTATGTGTGCGTGTGTGTGTATATGTTTGTGTGCCGAAATAATTGGCAGAAGTAAAATGCAAAAATTTAACAACCAAAAAAATATCAGCGGCTGCTAAAAAATGTTTAAACCAAGCTCAGTGGCTCAAGAGTATTGGCCCGAATAGATATGTGTGTAGGATTTTTGTAACGGTAAAAAGCGACGAGTACAAGCGAAGACATGATGAAAGGGAAATTGGTAATTTACAATTTCCAACTGCAATTGCTTTCCTACCATTTTTAAATGTTAATCAATCAATCAAAGAATCGATAACCATTTATGAGCCAAATAAATGAGGCTTACCTTACGCGCAGGCATGTGTGAGTACGTACTTATGGATAAGTATATTAGGATGCCTCGTCAAAAAAAGTTGCGGTTTTTCCGTTGCGGTATTATAAAATTTCTTATATTATAAAATTTCCGCCAAAATATTTCGGAGAAATATAAAGATTTAAAGTGAGCTGGCCTAATTTCAAAATATTTCGAAAAATCTTATTTTTTTGATTCCTTTAATAAAATTTGGAAACATTCTTATGCAAAGCTAAAACTCTTCTATCGTCTGAGGTGAACTTTTGACAAAAATATTTTTAACAACAAATCGGTTCAGCTCACGTAGATTTTAAATATTTCTCCGCAAGTCAAAAAAAAAAAATGCAAAAAAAAATATTAAAATATCGATGGAGAAATAGTTCAGATTTCTTGCATGAAGAGCGATACAGCCTAATGTATAAACTTACAAGCCTTTAAGTTTGTCCAATAAGAACATCAGTATCATCTAGTAATCAATTTCATACAAACCACATCTACATAGCATATATGTACATACATACGCATCTATGTATCTCTTTCTGTTTTTCCCTCGCATCCCTGCTGCCGCTTCTTCACTACTCCGTGCACTCCACACCACTCGTCTGCTGTTCTGGTAGGTCAATCACAATGTCCCTACCCCGGCGATCCACCAAATGGTCTAATAGCGCCGCTCAAATTCAATTATGATTCCGGCGATTACCTGAGCGTTCAATGTCGTCCAGGCTTTGTGCAGTACAGTGAGAATGGTCCGCCCGAACGTCCGAAATGTCAACCGGATGGTAATTGGTCCGGTCCGGTGCCCAAATGTCGCAGCTATGAGGAAGTGTAGCTAATCAAAATGGCGGACATGATGATGCCGGAATCATCTGATGAGTCCACGCAACTACAATATCAGCGTGAATAAAAACAACAACAACAACAAGAAGAAAATTGGCTACGGTATTAGCAGCGCATATCTATGTACATCAAATGTAGATAATACGTACATATGTATGTATGAGTATGCAGTTAAATGAAGCGTATAAAAGTCGGACTATATAGGCAAAACAGCAACAACAACAACAACCACAACAAATATTTATGGTCATAATTTCAGATTTGTATGTAGAAAAAGCGATAAAAAAAAAACAAAAAAATAACAACAAATGTTGGCGAATAAAACAACAGTACACATACGCACACACATCGTATTTTGTTGCAGTAGTGTACCTTAAGGTAAAATGGTTGGGTCAAATACGATGCACACCCACACAATCACACGGCATATTTTCGGCTACACACACACACACACACTCTTACACATTTACCAGAATAAGAATGATCTTGAAATGTAAACACTTCCTTATTCTATCTATCTCAGCAAACATAGGTTTAGCTTTTGAAATGTTTTTCTCAAATTTGAAGTATTTGAGTAAAGTCTCTATTTATAATTAAGAATTAAGAAATTTAAAAATGTAGCTTAATTAGACAAAACTTAATTTAAGAAAAAATAATTTGGTCAACATTTTGAAAAACTTTAAAATTTTTGTTTATTGCAATATAAATTTAAACAACGTGTTTGTAGCTGAAATTCTCATTAAAATCCATTTTTGGGTTCGAAGATATTAATTTGTAAATAAAACACTGCGCTGGTTTTCAAGATGGCGTAGCCGGCATTATTATAAACAAAAATTTCCAAACCTCTTTTACCTGCCTGTCTATACCTGCCATGGGCGCTCGCATGCGAACTGTCAGTTTTCTCGCATTCGAAATTTGATCGCAGAAAAATTTATGATGAACGGTCTACACCTGCGATATATCTCTTACGATGCTTCGTATGCGAGCGCCCATAGCAGGTATGGACGTACAGTTATACTATAAGACTACCATTTCCCTAGGTTGCAAAGGAATCGGGAGAGCAGTTACCTACCGCTCTTTTTCTGGCGGAGTTGTCCCTAAATTATATAATTTAGATATTGTGGAAATTCGACTTTCCCTACTTTTTTTAATTTTCATTAAGTTCATTTCCACATCGAATTTTTTAAATTCCGCAACGTTTTTTTTAATTCAATTTCTAATGAAAATTTCCTCTAAGACCTTTTGGTTATGCTAAACTTATTCATACATATATTTCAATGAAAATTTCTTAGCAAAAATTCAATTACCAACAGAATGCGGTTTCCTTCTGCACTTTTCTGAATGTTCCTGAAAGTTTCTTATTAAAAATGTATATGTATCTTTTTCAACCTTTAATTTCTGGCCCATTCTATTAATAAGCACAGATAAGTAGAGGTCAATAAGTTGTTTAATTAAGATGTGTGTAGCACACGAAATTAAGTAATTTATGCAACAATGTGAACATATATATTTTTTTGCGTAATTGAGTTAACGCTGCTTTAAAATACATTTAAGTCAATTTGATATAATTATTTTACTAACATAAAGCGTAAACTGCAGTTAATGATCGGTGGAAATGGGCTATTATTATTGTTTTGAAAATCAACTATTTAGTCCAATATAGAGGGGCACACTCTTTAGGGTTGTCCTTAAAATATCAACATATAAATAGTGTATGGGATGCACCCATTTATTTTGTTCTGCGTACAAAATAAAGACATCCACGAAAATTTCAAAATGTTAAACAAATTTGTATGAGTAGCACCAGATTTTGAAAAGTTATTTTTTTTTTTGTAAATCGCAAAAATTCCATAAATTTTGTTTTGAAACCTAATAATTTGACATATTGTTGAAACTTGGTCATATAAATTTATAAACTAGCTGAGTTATAGCTGGTCGAAATCAATTGTGTATCGCAATTTTGCGATTCAAAATAACTATAAATTTTTTCAATTCCTGGTAGCGACCACAATTAATTTTGTTTAATTTTCGTAAAATAAAATTAAAGGGGTGCCCCATGATATTGATATTTTTAAGGACCACCTTAATACTACGCTATGTAAAATAAGTACAGTAACTTTCATATGAGTATCATTTTAAAATGTGCTTCGATTTCAAATCAAATGTTTGCTGGGATATAATATAGATATATACCCTGCAGGAAAGACCTGCTAATACCTTAAAAAAAACACTGATAATAACTATTTTCAGTATATTTTTTATGGCTCCAAACCATTTGCTTTTTGCTAGGCTTTAGTAAGTAGGACAGCAAATTTCACATATTTCCTTCTGCTGCTTGAAATGCAAGTGCACTTTCAATTATTGAAGCTCATAAAACCAGACATGATCATTGTCTTACATTAAAAGATTCCTTTTAAGAGTGATTACCAACGTTTGAAGTCGCCCGGGGTTCCTGCTGAGTATCCCAGATAAAGAGGTGGGACAAACGGGGTTTCTTGCCTTGATCCCTGGTATGTACGAATCAAAGATGGATGATATATGGACCTGTCAACCGGCTCTACTGTAAATATTAGAAAAATAAAGTATTTCTATGCGCAGTTATAGTTTGGAATTATATTTTGATATAGTCGAGCGGGATTTTTTAAGATAATATTCAAACGAAAAGTTATTAAGAAGTGTTCTGGTAAACTTCAACTTTTAAAGCACAGACTATGGTCTCAGAAGCAACGAAAGCGCCGAAAAACAGGCAAGAAAAAGATCTTCAATTGTATTTATGGACTCGAAAACAATTTGTCATATTGGTTGGTGAAATGCATGCGCATTTCAACCTTCTGATCTCTGGAAATCACTTTCAACATCTAAGTCGATCTCGATTCCGTTTCTAAAAACTATGAGGTATCAAAAGTCGCAACTAACCTTCTAGTTTCGATATTAGGTCAACGAAAAATGTGAGCCAATTAAAAAAAGCTATTTCGCAGCGAACTTAAGTACCCTTTTAATTCACTTAATGGGATGAGTATTTAACGCAGCAGTGATCCTGTATAAGACAAGATTTGGATTTAGAATCTTATAAATTTTCTTAAACTTTCGGTTGTTTTTTCTTGCATTTACGCAGTGCTCGATAAGCAAAGGTTTGGTTGCCAAAGTATTGCCTGGAAGCTTCGAGTATAACCCTTAGATACCGCCAGAATTTAGGGGGGATTTTGTAGAGCAATGAACAGTATTTACTAAAATCACAAAATGATTTCCCGGTAATGTTGAAGTATTATTTATTGCATTTGGCAATTTTTTCCTGCAGGGTAGTAAGTAATTAAAACATATTTCTGGTATATACACACTAGTATACATAAACAAAATTTTGAATTGTAAAAAGTTAAAGAAGAATTGTATGTAACTAACTAATGTATTTCAATATTTGTTGCAAATCACCAAATGAAAGCAATTATTAATTTAATAAATTTCGAATCACACTTTCTCGTGTCTATTTGTATGTAAATTAAGTCATATGCTCCGAGGCATATAGGACAAATGATTATAAAGTGTTAGCATAATGTTAATTCTAGCAGAGAAACGATTTAGTGTTCCAACAAATATACATACCTATACATATACAAAACACAAAAATATTTACTAGTATAAGCGTTGTTGACATTAAAAAAAAAAAAAACAAATATCAAAACTCACATATTAAACAAACCGGATAATTGATGGATACATACATATATTTACAACTTATTAAATCGCATATAAATGGAATAAAAAAGGTAATTTAGAAGATAATTACTTAAAACATAAAATCCCTGTAGGTATGTATGTAAAATGCTGTTAATACGGCCGTTTGTGTTTGCAAATTGTATATGTATGAAACATATTTTTATATGTATATTTGTATTAACACTATTCTTGTTATGGTTATATATTTCTCAATTTTAATCGAGATCTAACTCATTTTAGAACTGGCCGCATATTTTAGGTAATTTGAAAATTGAACATAATTTGTTGCACATTCAAGCACTGTACATATATGTATAAATTCAGTTTAATAGGTCCACTTTTTACTACCCATATTTCATATTTTTCTAATAAAAGACAAAATTGTATGTCCTGTTTTACGTTGCCGAAAATTAATGTATGATTTATACATTAATAAAACTCTATGCCCATTTTTTAAATGACCAAAATCGACGTCCACTTTTTAAAGTGCTAAATATTAGTATTAAAATTTTACACTCAGGCGTGCGACATAAAATTCCGATGTCCAACTTTTTTGCTTCTTAGTTTTTAAATTATCAAAAATTAATGTCCAGTTTTCATTTTACGAATGTATTATATACAGGCTTTTGTTTACTTAAACATTTATTATTATGTCCAGTTTTGAAATGGCCAAAAACTTACTTTTAATTTATAAATTGCCAAGAATTTATTTTAAGTTTTTAAATTAACAAAAATTATGTTTACTTTTTGTTGGCTACCAGAGTTTCTGTCCAAATTTTTAAATATTAATAATTTATGTCCAATTTTCAAATTACAAAAAATTCATTTTCAGTTTTTAAATTACCACAAATTAAAATCTAGCATTAAAATTAGCAAAATTTTATGCCAAGGTTTCAGTTTTCTAAAATTGTTTGTGAAATTGTTAAATGACCGAGACTGTTGTCCAGTTTTTAAATTCCCAAAAATTTAAGGTCAAATTTTATACTCAGTCGTTTATATATATTGGGATGTATAGTTTCAATGTCCATTTTTCACATTTTTATTATACATGTATAGCTTTTTAGCTATCAAAAATTTGTGTCCACCAAAAGTTCATTTTCGGTTTTAAAAATACCAAAAAATTATGTTCAGTTTTAAATGTCCAAAATTTATGTCTAGGTTTTTTTTTTTGATTAGCCAAAAATTTAAGGTCAGCTTTTACATTTCCAAAAATGACTTATAGCTTTTAAATACAATCTATGGTTGTTGTATTGAAATTAATAAATAAAAAATATGCAAAAATTTATGCGTTCGCTTAGTTTCCTAACATGTTATGTCCAATTTTTTTATGACCGAGATTTTTGTTCAGTTTTTAATGTCCATATTTTACACTCAGGAGTGTATATGTATCGGGACAAACATTTTTAATATCATCTTTTAGGTTTTAAGTATACATATGTCCAGTTTTTTAGCCATTAAAAATGTGTGTCGCCTTTTTAAACTGTCAACAATTTGTGTGCAGTTTTAATTTTACCAAAATTTTGTGTGCCTTTAAATTGCTAAAAAAGGATGTTCAGATTTAAATTGGCCGAATTTAATATTCAATTTTCATATTACTAAAGCTCATGTTCAGTTTT